GGGGGGGGGGAAGGCGTAATCTTGAGATAACTTTTTTCTTGTACACCTATAATCTTAGAGTTAAGTTCCCACACCATCCAAGTAACATTCCAGTTTTGCTGGTGGCTACTCAACAGTCTATAAATAAATGCAAAAACAGCAGTGAGGGGGAAATTTGGTAGCTATAAGATCTTTGCTACCAGCTAAGACAACAAGCTGATGGCTCACTGCCGTGGCTGATCCCTTAGCCATCCCTCTTTGTTCAACACCTTAGAGGTCTCATCTGAGAAGACAGGAGGGGGGGAGATATTTCCACATTTAGGTCTTGGTTTCCCTGCTGAGGTGGCTGGCAGCCTTACTGGCAATGGTCAAGACCCTTCCTTTATGCTGGGTGCTGGTGTGGCCCATGAAGGAGAGCAGAGAAAAGAATTAAAACACTTTCTCACAGGGCTGAAAATTCAAGTTAGCATCCATCAGAAAGCAATACATTAAACAAACCAATAACGTCTTGGTCTTGCTGCATTCTTTCTCTGTCTCTTTGGCCTTCCTAGTTCCTGGCAATTCGGTACCAAGTTTTCTGGAGCCCAGCTGGCCCTACAGTCTAGTATTACAGGACAACACATTTGGCTTAGCATTTTTAGCTCAGGCACGTAGCAGACTTCCTTCCTTGAATGATAGGCACATCACATACATGATGTTCAGAGTCTATGTGAATGGGGGAGGCCAGGACAATACCATGTGACCACACTGAGCAGCAGCACTCACTGGTTGCTGAGGGGCTCCGGGTAGCAGCTTTGCCGTTGCCAGGATGGAGCAGGCAGGCTGGCTTCCTGGAGGGAGGGAATCATCTGAAGGGGAGTTTTTGCCTGATGTTCCAGCTGAAAGAGGAACAAGACTGGCTTTTTAAATTAAAGAGCGGGTACAACAACTTACCTACAACGGAGCAAAACTGATACCCTGTGAAAGCGCTTGTGATTAACAAAAGAGGTGCTCTCACCCTCCCTGCTCCTCGGGGTACGTTATGCAGGACCTTCCCATGGGACACGAGGGATCCTGAGTCCTCTCTGTCTGGGTGCTGAGGACAAGGCACTGAGATCTAAGAGGTGTGCTGGAGTGGACTGTTACTGGTCTAGTCTAAGGTCCCCCTTTTTGGTTACAAAATCTCAGTGCAGAATAAAATGATGAACTCTTGAACTGTTTCAGGAAGTGGTTTCCTAGTTCATCTTTTCTAATTAATGTAATAATCTCAGCTGGGTATTAACATTGCATTCCAGGCACAGAAATACAGATGTCAGTGCAGTCACTTATGGGCAACAAATTCAAAAATGAATGCAAATAATGCTGAAGAGCTCATCTTCCAGCAGTGAGTATGACAGAACCTTTAAGCTATGATTGGAAAACATATAGAGAAGAGATATCTTTGGCTGGAAAAAAAATGTGCTGCATGACTTCTGTCATATAGAAGGCCAAAATGATGATGCTGATCTAGCAAACACCTTTAGTCCAGAAGTAGCCATAAAAATAGGAGCAGAAGAGCACTGATGGCCTCTCAGGTGAGTAGAGCTTAAGTGTATAGCATCACTTCCCCTTTGTACTTCACTGAAAATCAAGCCACTTTGCAATTCTTTCCTAAACCCAGAAGCATGCGAGAATTGCTTTCAAAGTGGAAAAGCACAAATGACGGTCCAGAACAAGTATTTTGTCAAAGCTTTTAAAAGGAAGATTATAATTAAGTCAGAAACAAACCAACCATAAGCAAACACTCAGTGACTTTGAAAGTCAACAGGCATAAATACTAGTATTCATTTTTCATTGTCACACTTGCTAGCCTGACCAGTGAGTTAGTATGAAACACATGGGCCGTTATATCCTCACTAAAGCAGAGGGCATTCCTTTGTGGAGTACCTGTCATCCTAAAGACAAACTTCCCCCATTGCTAACTGCAGCCACAGTCAGACTGAAACAGACTGAGGAAGCAAATAAAAATACATCAATAGCCTAACATTTCAGAGCAAGGTACTACTTTCTCTGCCATCTAGAAATGGCCGGGGGTGAGGAGGAGAACAGGGGGAAACCATGTTCAGCTGAGGCCAACAAAACATTAAAGAAAGTTAAACTCACCAGGAGGGGGAGGCCTCTGCGGAGGATGGAGCGGCCGAGGTCTGTTGGGAACGGACAGAGATCTGCTTGGAGACCGCCGGTGGCATTCCCTGCTTGCTTCCAGCTCCCGCTTCAAATCAGCCAGGTCTGTGTCATCTAGAGGAATTTTAGAAAGTATCTGTATTAGATAATCACTAGAGGAGACGGCCTGAATCCGGGCAGTCAGGAGACAGGCAACTATGCATGATAAACCTGAAACAGGCATCTCAGAGCAACGACACGTGCACAAGTCTCCCTGTTCCCACTCCAGGAAACATCTGCCCTCTTGTCAAACACTTCTCTCACTCCTTTTCCAGCATTTATTAATTGTTCATGAAACAGAGACGGCCTGCATCTGATTTTAGGGTTACTAGTCACCTTGTTAGACTGTGAACTTTACACAGAGACATGGCAGCAACCTGCTCTCAATCAAACAATCACATGACAGCCATGAGGAGGCTGATCATGGTCAATCCCTTGTTCTTCCTTCCTGAAGGCAGAAATTCCCTCAGAGGATTAAGACAATTTTCCTTGTTCACAAGGACTATTTTTACTCCAGAGAAAAGTCTAGCTAAATAGCTCACTCATCACATCTCTGCTTTCCAGCAATGCCTTGTAATCTGATAGTCCTGAGCTGCATCTTAGAAGAGTAGATGATTACACCATCTTTCATCCTGTCTAACCCTCTCTGACAGCTGCAGAGAGGAGGAGCAAGGATTGCTTTAATGTCCCAGGGAACAGTCTGCTAAGGTGAGAGCTTTCACTTTGGTTTTCTCACTTTCCTGCACTGCCCAGCCAGGCAGCTATGCTCTTCTGGACTTCAGAATTCATTGGCTTTAGTATTGTCCCTGTGGTTTGGAGAGGATGGGGAAGGAATTAAGCAGCAGCAGTCTCTCACATTTTAGGCATTTTTACACAAGTTCCTGTTTTTCTGTGCTCTGCAGGGAGGACTGAGCTGCCTCGCAATTTCCTACTCCCACTCAGCACTGGAGAGCAGCCGCAGAGACACAGCCTGTAATCTGCCCAGCCCTCCCCACCCTTCTCTCTGCCTTTTCAGTATTTCTGAGCTACAAATACAGGCTCAACAGTATGAGCCACGTAGTCATGCAGGCATCCAAAGACATGGCTTGAAATTCTAGCAGGAGCATTGAAGACAAGACAAAAACTAACCACCACCCTCACCCGTTCCCCGAACGGACTGATGGTTTTTGGCAATGGGGCCAGGGACATCAGTTTTATGAGGGCTGTGCCCTTCTCTGATCTCAAACCACATTTGTGATCCCATCTTTGGTTTCCATCTGTGTCTAACACCAGCCATACAATCATCATACCCTCAATTAGGAGTTACTCAGGCAGAATGTGAAGCTTATGGAAGCATCTGAAATTGCAGGACTTTCGAGATGGGATGAATATATCATATTTTGGCTTGTGGGAGATCATGACACCACCTTGACCTACTCCAAACTATACTTCATAGCCTCTATTTACTGTATGATTTTTTTCTTTTGTGGAGAAGAGTTAGTGTGGGTGAAAAGAATCACTGCAATTCTCTGTAGCTTAATGAATCATCACACAGGAGGCCAGAGGTGTTTGGAGGGCAAGACATCCTATAATACAAAGTGATTGGTTTCACAGTATTTAATAATGACAGACTACTCTGTGGCTCAGGGCTAGTTTTCTAGGACTGACCAAGCTGCACTCAGCATGGGAATTAAGGTGGGTAAGAAAGCTGTATATCACTACGGTTGTTTGGGAAATCTGTCTGCGTAAACTTAAGACTTTCATTTTATCTTTATGAACTCTACTTCTGACTCAACCTTTGAAGGGATTAAAGTTTTCATTTTTACGTCAGAAGACAAAGCACTTCTGAGAGAGTACTATCAACAAATGAACAGCAGAAAGGCAGCTACTGAATCATTTGCTGTGACAATGAAGTTTTTAATACGTGACCCAGCCTGTCTATGCTTGGTCACTGAAGCATGTCCTGATCACATCCCAATATAATAAGACTGCAGGCTTGGTTAGTTTTTGGTGTAGTTTATATCATATTCTGTTCACAGCTTTATCTTGTTTTTACAGAGTCATTTCACAATAATGCACAAACATGCCAGGTGACCTGGAAAAAAGCTAACACATTTATGAAGCACGGAAAGAACGAATATACATCTACTGTGAACCTCAACTTCTTCAGATATAGGTAGAATAGGAGCAAAGGAGATACTTTAGGCTTCTTTTGAATTTTTTTGAATCCAACTTCCTGAACAGTCCATCTTACTCCAGATTACACTGCCCCAACTATTGCTCAAGGGGCAGAACCAAGTCCATCACTGAATCAATGGGAATCTTTCAGTTTAATTTTTGCTCTGGCCCTCACTGACAAGAAAATTAAGTAAGGACAATTTTATGTTTTATGCCTTTGTGCTGAACAACATCAAATGGATAAAAAGACTTAATTTCTTACAACTATAAAAGGAAACCAGCATTTCTAAGCAGTACCTTGCCCTAGGAAGATAAGCAAAGGAAGATTTAAGTTTTATTATTTGTATTGCTATTGCGCATGATGGCCTCAGTTTTAGTCACAGACTCAGTAGCGGTTGCGTGCTTTATGAACAAGTATCAAAAAGATGATCCCTATCTTTGAAGGATCCATAATCAACATATAAACAAACAAGGAAATACAGACAAAGGGAGAACAAACAAAAAGCCTTCAAGACTTTCTTTAAGAGATGCATATAATTTACCTTTACACTGCTGTGGGTTTTGTCCAGTAAGCAATGGAGATTTGTTTGAAAGTGCTATGGATGGAAAATGTCCAGAGCGCTCAGGCAAATCATCTGTTATGTCGGCTACTAGGTGCTGACACAAAGCATCATCTAAGTAGTCATCCTCATCCTCCACTATATCACCTGCAAAAAAATATTAGATAACAAACACCTTGTGAGCAAATGCATTCTCTTCCTTTTCCTACAATCAGTGAAAGAATTTACTATACAGGTCGGGCAAGCTTCTTGTGTAATCTGTGTGTTTTCATTATAGTTTGTACATATACAGATAACTAGCTGTAACATGCATTGGATTTGCTAACATATTTTATAACTCTGAATTGATATAATAAACTAATCAATAGTTCTCTGCACAGGCTCAGTACTGGGTCAGGGCTTTACTCACAATCTTCTTTCTAAGAAGCCTTGGCTGCAGTGACCATGAGATGGTGGAGTTCAGGATCCTACGAGGAGGGAGCAGGGTAGGATGGCAACGCTGGACTTCAGGAGAGCTAACTTTGGCCTCTTCAGGGACCTACTTAGGGGAATCTCATGGGGTAGGGCCCTAGAAGGAAGAGGGGTCCAAGAAAGCTGGTTAATCAAGCATCACCTCCTCCAGGCTCAAGATCAGTGCATCCCTCTGAGTAAGAAGTCGAGCAAAGCGGGCAGGAGACCTGCATGGATGAGCCAGGAACTCCTGTCAAAACTCCAACAGAAGAAGGAAGTGTACAGAATGTGGAAAAGGGGACAGGCCACTTGGGAGGAATACAGGGACGTTGTCAGAGTGTGCAGGGATGCGACAAGGAAGGCTAAGGCTCATCTGGAATTAACCAGAGAGAAAGTCTGAAGAAAGGAAGACTCCCTTGGTCAAGGAGGATCGGGTTAGAGATCTTTTGTCCAAACCGGACATCCACAAATCCATGGGCCCCGATGGGATGCACCCACGAGTGCTGAGGGAGCTGGTGGATGTTATCGCTAGGCCACTCTCCATCATCTTGGAAAGGTCCTGGAGATCAGGAGAGGTGCCTGAGGACTGGAGGACAAGAAGGTGATCAGGAGTAGTCAGCATGGATTC